TTGGAGAGGTCAACGAACTTTGTATACTTTATTTGTCGATATCTATCATATTTATTCCATAGTCATGTATTGAATTCAGACCCCATGCACAAACAATTTTGAGGTGACCTCTTAACTCAATTTTCTTTTCTTTTTTAATTAATGGCAGATTCAACATGCCCTAATTGGAATGCAATGGAATGTATACAAATGTCAAGCAGTATTCATTATTGTGTTCTTATTACACTCTGTTATATCCAGATGGACTTGAGTAACCACATTTTTAACCTTTTTACACAGCCTACAGGTCACTGTTAGAGTGTGATGCTTGTCCAGTGTACCTCTTATATTCTTAAAGCAGGGAAATGGAGATCAGAAGTCATGATGACAAAATTGTCTTTGGGTCTGAATCATTACACACTATAGAATAATTGTTAAAAAACACTTCTTTTTCACTATTTAGACTTAGGTAATGAAAATTGGCATTTGGAAGATTAAATAAATAGCGGCAATTAGGGTATACAAAGTTCATTGGGAAAAGATGTTGCATCTTGACATCAATTTTTTTCATAATATATCATTTCCAATTTTGTTAAGAAAATACTTAAAAAAACTTTCTTGACTCTCCATAGACTTTGTACACAACCGCTGAAGTGGTATGTGGATTCTACATTCTTCCCCTACATTGACTCTTCACAAAGGTCACCAGAGGTCAGATTTGAAATGCCTCTATTTCTCGAAAATTCTCGTCAAGGCATGAAGACGTGATATGCCAAGTTTAACCACAAAGTGCACAATTCTGTCACTATGCCGCTCTACTATTGCCAATAATTAACAATCCAGTCCACGAATGGTCAACACTTGTCACTGTGCTATAGAGACCCTTTAAAAACTTAACTGCAAAATGGTGCTCATTCTGAAATATCCAAGATGGCTGCCATCCATCGGGGATACCTCATCAATAATGTATTTTTTAGATTCCTTGGTATCAAATTAATGGGGTTGCCACCAAAATGGACTTAATACGAACGTTCAGGTGCAACGTGAGTTATTATTAAAAATGAAATCCAAGATGGCGGTTATTTTTAAGTATCCAAGATGGCTGCCATCAATTGGGACTACCCCGTCACATTTCATTTACTTGGATTCCTTGCTATTGAAAACATACTGGGTTTGCCACGAATGGACTTCATATGACAAGTCCGAAGTTATGATACAAATTATGTCCGAAATGGCGGCCATTTTGAAATATCCAAGATGGCTGCCATCCATTGGGAGTACCTCACCAACAATGATTTACTTGGGTTCCTTGGTATAAAAAACATGGGGTTCGCCACCAAAATGGACTTCATACGACAATCAGGTCCGAAGTTATGATACAAATTATGTCCGAAATGGCGGCCATTTTGAAATATCCAAGATGGCTGCCATCCATTGGGAGTACCCCGTCAACAATGATTTACTTGGATTCCTTGGTATCAAAAACATAGGGTTTGCCACCAAAATGGATTTCATATGACAATCAGGTCCGAAGTTATGATACAAGTAGGTACTAAATGGCGGCCATTTTGAAATATCCAAGATGGCTGCCATCCATTGGGAGTACCTCGTCAACAACACTTTACTTGGGTTCCTTGGTATCAAAAACATGGGGTTTGCCACCAAAATGGACTTCATGTGACAGTCAGGTCCGAAGTTATGATACAAATTAGGTCCGAAATGGACGCCATTTTGAAATCCAAGATGGCCGCCACATGGTAGATGGAAAAAAATGTTACCAATGGATTTCTGGCTGAGAAAGGTAAACTCTATCCAAAAATTCCTTCATTAGCAAAAAAAATGCAAAGGCTAAACTGTTTGCTATATAGTCGTGTTCCCTAACGTGGCGCACTTCGAGGCTTACCCAACTTTCCTCGTGTAGTGTTGCCAAACCCTTTTGTTGATAAACCTCAAATTCATGCAGTGAAATACTGGTACCTTTACCTTTTTAGAGCTTGCTATTTAACCTCTGTGAACAATTTCGGTTTCACAAAATTTAATCCGAAATGCAAAAACGGTCGCGTCCGGAAATTGGGCACAAATTGGCGGAGTGTTCCCTAACGTGGCGCACTTGAATAAATCTCGGAAAACTCCAAATAAACATTTAAGAATTTCTGTAAACTTGATAATTCTGATAACTCATTATTATCTTTACTTACAAACCCAGCAAGATGTTTGTCAGAAAATTATTTACTTATTTTTCGGGGCATTTTCAAAGGGTTCACTTTGCACTTGAAAATAAAATCGGAAAATCACGCCAAAATATTTTTTTCTTTTAACTTTCTAACGGGTAAATAAACTCGCGATTTATGAACGGGAGTGTTTAGAACTTGATGAAATTTCACTTTCAGAGAAATTTCAGTTAAAAGTTTTGCTCTAGCTAGGCGCTACAGGCGAAAAATCAAAGTGCGCCACGTTAGGGGCCGCGCCACGTTAGGGTACATCAACAATACAAAACACCAACTAAGTACAAAAACGTCCATCCCAACCAAGCTTTTTCCCACAGAACCCAGGGGCAAACTGTGCAGCGGTTCTGTGGGAAAAAGCTTGGTTGGGACGGACGTTTTTGTACTTAGTTTGTGTTTTGTATAGCAAACAGTTTAGCGGGGTAATCTGCCTATCAAGGCTCCACTACGTGGGGTGGGGGGGGGGACATACCTTGATCATAACTGATGCAAGTGCAAAGCGCGAAGCCCTTACGTCGTGGGGTTCGGGGCCCGCTTAAGGGCCCCGAAAAAAAATTGGATTTTCTATGCTCTGTGGTGTGATCTGACTCCGAGGCAATTTCTTACCACTTTAACCAATAATTATCTTAGCACAAAAGATAATAATTTAAACATAATTTTCGAGGTTTTCTCAGCTAAAGGCATAAGAACATTTTGTGAACATTGTTTTCGAGGTTGAAGTCATTGAATCAGCTACCAGAATTCTGAGCTATAGGCGTGGGGTTCGGGGCCTGCTTAAGGGCCCCGAAAAATTTTGGATTCTAAATGCTCTGTGGTGCTATCTGACCACTTAAACCAATATTTTCTAGATAGTGGATATTTTGCCGGAGGTAATAACGGCAAACTAACGATTACTAAAGGTTTGCCGGCGGCAATCCATATCAACAGAGGGCGCTGAACTCTTTAAAATAGAGCTGAATTATAACATGTATTAAATTCCCACCAAAAGTTGTGTAGCACGTTCGGTGTAATGGTTAAGCAAAGGCTCTAGAAAGCGGGATGACTCGCGTTCGATTCCGACCGCACCACATTTTGAAGGGTTTTTTTCTCATCCCCAAATAAATAAGAATATTCTTCTTTTATTATTTTAACATGTCTCAAACATTTTTTGCAGAGTATTACATTTTCTTTTTCAGATTTGTGGCTCTGGAGGATTTTTTTTAAAAGGGAAATAAAGTCCGAAATTATAAAATGGTCTGAATCCCATCTTGTGAATACGAGGTAACAACGATAATTTTGGCATGGAGCCAGTCTAAAACTTGTCACCGGAAAATGTTTAAGTACAAAAAAACAGTAACTGCGCATGTTCAGTGCATATCCGGCAAACTAACGTTTACTAAAGGTTTGCCGTCTCCGGCAAAATATACACTGCCTATTTTCTAAGCAAAAGATACATTGTACTTGTAGTACATAATAATAATTAATATTAATAGGGCCCATGGCGTCATGTAGATCAATGATAATTTTTTTAGAAACTCAAAATCTCAGTCATGTCAGTGGGGGGGGGCGACTGGGGGTCGCCCCCCACTCCCCCCCCCCCCCCCCCCCCCCCCCCCCCCCCCCCCCCGGTGGCTACGCCATACTCCTAGAACTATGAGTATGAGGCTCCACGTCCACTAGTCATAGTTCTAGGAGTAGCTACGCCACTGGCCGTACTACAGAGCTTGCGATGGTACTGTACGGCCAGACGCAGTCGGGCTACCTAGCCCTGGTGGACTCCCTTTCCTCCCTACGTTACGGAGGGAGTCCTGAGTACACATGTGCTCACAACCGAACGAAAACATTTCTTACCAATAATTTCAATATTTTTACCTTGTTGGAGAAGCTAATTTTACGTCGTAGTATTCTATGTGTCCTTATCTGTTAGCACGCTGGGTTCAGGAATTCCATATGCGATGCTGACTGACGTCAATCAGGAAAATAAACTCGAAAGCATCGTTAAACTTGTACGTGTTTAGTCTCTTTTCATCAGTTTCTCATCGCCGAGTCTATTCTAGTCGTACATCATACCATGAACGTCTGTGCAGCGTGTAGTCTGATTCCCTAGACCGGACAATTATTCTCGACGCTCATATCACATCTGGACCGAGGGACAGACTATGCCGCATGAATATGCAGTGCGCACGCGCGATTTGCTTAGTAACCACCCTCATACGCACGCGCACTTACTTGAAGGCGCGGTCGCTAATCCAATGACCGAGCGTGTTTTCGCGCCAGTTACCAGAAACACGTTTCGGCTTTTGTCATTGGTTGAGCGTTTTCGTGACATCGGTTGGCTGGAGTGACGTCACGGTTCCAACCAAACTAAACAAATGAGGGCGCTAGCGTGCGTGCGCGCTTTCGGATCGTACGCACGTACATTTTGTACATGTACATTGTACATGATGCATGACGTACGACTCTGGGAATAAACTGATGAAAAGAGACTACAAACACGTACAAGTTTAACGTTGCTTTTGAGTTTATTTTCCTGATTAACGTCAGTCAGCATCGCATATGGAATTCCTGAACCCAGTGGCCAATAGATAAGGATACATAGAGTATGTAGGCGTGAAATAAGCTTCTATAACGAGGTAAAACATAACAAAACTCTGGTAAAAATGTTGGGATGGTTTCATGTAGAAAAGTCTTGTCCTGGACGTTAGTCGTATTGCAATGAAGACTTCGTCCAACCTGGGCTATCGGGCTACCTAGAGTCCTACTGGAGGGCCGTACGGCCATTGATGTCCAAAACTTTAATTGAAAAACTAGGCCTACCTTCACTTCAACCGTGCTGCCAAGCCTGGTCTAGCCCCTTGCCTTGCTTGATACTGCAGCTGCGCGACGTCCTCCCTACACGAACGACCAAGTACATGAGGTACGTATGTTGCAACACGTATTCGCACGTGCCCGTACGGTATAGGTATACGCCCACGGTCGGTCGATCAGTAGTCTTGGTTTCCGGTTCCAAGACGTTACCATCGATGGTGTAATTAACACTTTCGCAAAACAATTTTTCCATCAACAGAGGGCGCACTTTACAGGACCACAGCGCACGTGTGACATGTGGGTGCACTGAACCAATTCAAGCCCCATTGAAAACAGTGTCAAATCAACAAAGTTCAGGGCCAAATAACATGCAAGCCGACATCACTGGGGTTTCTCAAACAAAACTTAAATTATTGTGTTGTACTTCATCTTTTCATTTCTTTTCAATTTTGGGTAGATTAGCCGATTACATTTTTAAATATTCACACCACAACAAAATCACCTCCCGAAAAGTGATAATTTCCAAGCCTGCATGTAGCCGTTTTACAAGTGGCATCCTTCCACTTTCTCATACAAATAGGACCCATTTTCCAACCGTAATTTTATCAAGCCTGCCCTCAGATGCAAGCCCCAAAACCAGGGAGTTGATCCTTGGCTACATTTGCACAATTCCACCGTTTTTTAAGCCAAACGGTCTCCGTTTCCAAAAGAAACTGTCAGCTCGCGTAGAAATTCTCACTTGAATTAGTTCACTGCACCCATGTGTGCAGGGGGGGGGGGGGGGGGGGGGGGTACGAGCGAAATTGTAGACTTGATGACAAGTCGTTAGACTATAGTGGTTTATGTCCGTCATCAGCGCCAGAATCCGCATACCACCGCCGGTGTGGACGGTAATTCTGTCCCCCGGTAAAAGTGTCCGGGGGGACAGAATCACCTAGGTAAAAGTGTCCCCCTGTCCCGTTAATTCTGTCCCCTCCAGGTAATTCTGTCCCCTCCAGTAAATATGTCAACATTGTAAACAATATGTCAACATTTCAAAAACGTATGTCAACATTTCAAAAATATATGTCAACATTTCAAAAACGTATGTCAACATTTTAAAAATATGTCAACATTTCAAAAAAATATGTCAACATTTTAAAAAAAATATGTCAACATTTAAAAAAAAAATTATGTCAACATTTTAAAAAATATGTCAACATTGTAAACAATATGTCAACATTTAAAAAATATATGTCAACATTTTAAAACAATATGTCAACATTTAAAAAAAATATTTGTTCTGATTAATTAACTAGAAATTACATGTCAACATTTGCCAAAACTACCTACTACTTGTTGACAAATATATGTGTCAACCCATCCTGCGACATACGTGTCAACATTTCGTCCAAAAATATGTGTCAACACTACCCGATTAAAAATATATGCCAACATTCACGTGACCGTCACGACGGAGTACATGCGCGAAGTATGCTGCGCTAGCACCCGGTGTCACGGTCTCACTTCTCCGGCGTGCTGGATTCTCCGGGTGAATGCGGCGGATAATTGAGCACGTTACAGTGCACGTTACATGATGAGCACGACACATGCTCATGTGTCCGCTGTTTGGCTTAAAAAACGGTGGAATTGTGTAAATGTAGCCAAGGATCAACTCCCTGGTTTTTGGGCTTCCATCTGAGGGCAGGCTTGATAAAATTACGTTTGAAAAATGGGTCCTATTTGCCTGAGAAAGTGGAAGGATGCCACTCGTAAAACGGCTAAATGCAGGCTTGGGAACTATCATTTTCGGGAGGTGATTTTGTACGGCGCTCCACGAGTGTCATCCACTTCTTTATTTACTATTCATCACGTCATGTTGACATATAGCCGAGAGTAAGGCGATTTAATCACATAATTGTATTGCCCAGTCGACTTACCGAAGTCAACTTACCGAAGTCAGATGCATTATCTCTCCAAGTCGTCTTCCATAAGTCGACATGACGACTTGTCCAGATGTATTATCTCGCCAAGTTGACTTCTCGAAGTCGAGATGACGACTTGTCCAGATGAAATATCTCGCTAAGTCGACTTCCTGAAGTCGAGATGACAACTTGTAGAGATAAATTATCTTGCCAAGTCGACTAACGATGTGAAGATGATGACATGCAAAAATCTCGTTCTGCATGGATATCCTGTTTTTTGAAGCATTGTCGTGGATTCTTTCTTGTTCGTCGGTGCATTTGAGGTTTTCCCCACCCGTTCTTATATGAACAATAAACTGGCAGAGGAACAAGAGATAAACTGTAGGGTATTGATTTGATCTGGGTCGAAGTTGATTTGTGTTTTTTTTATTTTCATCTTGTTTTAAATTACTCCCCCAAGCTTCGTAGGAAATCACACCTCTACCTTGTTTTCCCCTAATTCCGGTGGGTGGGTGGGGTGGGGCACATGGGTGCACACAATTTTTAATGGGGCACTGAAGGCAAATGACAATTATTTGTTCATTTCAAGATTTTAAACGGGGAGCGCCGGGCGGGGGGGGGGGGGGTATGGCACGGACATTTGTTGGGGGGGGGGGGCACAACCCAGTTACGCCATTGATAGTACCGGTATGTTTTACCTTTTTTTCAAGAAATATAACTGTAAATATATGTCAGCATGTTTTTTAATATCCTTCCTTTATCACCATGCAAACGACGGTCATATTTTACAGCATAACCGGCTAATTCGACAATATTATACTTTTATCACACCTGCCTGTGAGTTGCGCAAAAGGAACGTTTTCCCTTTGGAATGTTGTTGTCAGTCTCTCTTTTTGGAAAAGCCGAATATATTGGTTAATAGGACATGATGCAAACCGCCATGCGAGTGGTCGGTCGGTTTCAGAGTACAGGTTACTGATGAGGCTACCGTGTATACAACCATACATGCGGTGCTCAATCGATACCGATTCGCAAGGCTTTCTACCGGCTTCTCCTTGCAGGGGAGTCAAAAAAGAAAATGACTGAATTTGAAAATATTTTAAAATATTCGGCTTGCTCAATTTCATTATGAAAAAATGATCAAGTACATCTTATTGTCTTTTAACTGTGAACATTTCACGTCATTTGCATACTTTATTCCCGCGTTATGTCTAAAACAAGATACGTTTGCGGTAGCACCATGTGAATAAATATCTTTTGTGAGTATGTGTGGTTCTGAAAAGAACCGAGGGACTCAACGTTTCGAACAGTATGCTCTGCCCGTCGTCAAGAGAATGTTATTCACATGGTGCTACCGCAAACTTTTCTTGTCTTAGTATCTTTCCACCATGCAAACCTTCAAATCTCACGTTATGTCTATTTGAATAAAAAAAACTCGGCTGTCCACCTCTGATAATTCTACGAGCTGGTTAATACACATCGAGTATTATGAAACATGGACGTTTTCCCACCTCGATGAATGAACGAGAACTTACAAAGGATTTTTATATCGCTAGCAACATTTCAGAAGAAAAAAGAGTTGACTTGTTCCTCATATGCAAACCATTACAACTGACAGTAAAAACAATGGTTTTGATTTCAATTATTAATATCTCATTTTAATGAATGCTTGTGTGTATTATCACTACGCTCAATGGCACTCCAAGGAGAGCTATAAAAAATGCTTTCTTTAAGTAAAACATGCATAACTTCTGTTGTCAGTAACTGCTTTTTTTTTCAGATGAGTGGAAGAACATGCTCTTATTAGACATACTTCATTGTATCAAATTTGTGTATCAAATTTGATTGCATTTTGAATCACCTTGTAGACGAAAATAATTGCCGTATATGCACAACAACAATCGGGGGCGGAACCAGGAATTTTTGTGGAGGGGGGGGGACACTTGGCTCCTTAAAATCAATAGGGGGAGGGGTGGCTCGTATACCATACTTTCAAAGCGGTTGCTGTTCAAATCCGAAGATTATTAACAATATGTTACGGGATATGTACAAATACCCCCTAACCCAGCAGGTTCTGTCCGTATGTTGGGGAAAGGCGTATAATACTAGTATAATTTCTCGGGGTGTCGGAGTAGGGGCGCTGGGCAGTGCTATTGTATAGGATTACCCCGTAACATCACACGAATGGGCTATTGTGTACACAGATGCATGTAAAGGCCTCAATTGAATAGCCATTCGGAACTAGTTGAACATAATTTTTTTTATGATTTGGGAAAAGCTTGGCTAGGCTTGACTTGTCTTTTTTATTGCCACAAGAACATTTAATTTTACCTCAAAATAAGTCATCAACTATTATTTACATGTACATCATTATGATGTTATCAAAATATAAAACAACAAACCAAAAAATTCGACGAAATTTATTTCTTTGTAGATTATGTTTATCCAGCTTACAAACTCATGGGGCATCGAACCGGGGACATCTGTGGTTTAGTCGAGTAAAGACACACAAAGACATGTAAAATTAGAACTAAAGGAAAGTTGAGTGTCAATACGTTTGTGGTACATTTTGAAACGTGTAAATTATTTTCGCAAACGGGCTTGATATTTCTCAATTATTAAATAGCATTCCTAGAAACTAATACCCGACGACACCGAGACTGAACATTTGATCAAAATGCGGCGTGCAGAGGCAACTTTGTGTCTCTTTTGTTGATGTTCATAAAAAATGCAAAACGTCTGCTCGTCTATTTCCTTTCCACACATGAAGCGGCACAAAGACGGATGATTAATGATGTCATTAGAGTTGTTTTCATTGAAAAGGTATTGTTGCTTTGATGCAAAGCGTTTGGGTATTATCATCTATGGAGAAGCTATTAAGCTTGACGAACATGCAACGCATGATTGTATAGTTTTGGGAATTTGAAAGGTTATTGTTGGTATAATTATATACCCGCTTTTTCAAAATTTCGATTTTTCTTTTCCGAACGAAATGTAAAAGAATATAATGTCCTGCAACAAATGCCCCCCCCCCCGGCGCTCCCCATTTAAAATCTTGAAATTAACACAAATTTGTCTTTGTCTTCAGTGCCCCAGATTTAATGTTGGCAATAAGAGCTTTTATAGTGGCTTTTTATTAAATATATCAGACAAGAGTTTTGCTAAATTTCCGATATTCCAATTTAAGCCGTGAGAGTCGTTTTATCTTAAATATGATCTCAATATGATTTAAAGCAAATCTTGGATTTGTAAGTGTCATTTTTAGGCAACCTGTCAATAAAGACATTTTTGTGAATTTATGATTGTTAATGTTTAAC